ACATTGTTACATAAATATGTAATTTAGAGGTTATAGCAACTATGTGTTACTTTTTCTCAGTCCTTAATTCTTCATACAATAAAAAAATTGTTTCTTTCTTTCATTATTCATGCAACCTGCCATAATCCCCATTTGAGACTTTTTAAAAATATAAAATATTTTCACGACATAATTTTGATTTGGTTTTTATATGTTATGGGTATTATTGGTATATTGGGTATTATTGTTATATTATTACATAAATATGTAATTTAGAGATTCTAGTAACTATGTGATACTTACTCAGTCCTCTGTTCTTCACACAATAAAAAAAATTGTTTCTTTCTTTCGTTATTCATGCAACCTGCCACAATCCCTATTTGGAACTTTCTAAAAAATACAAAATATTTCAACCACATAATTTGAACATAATTATATTGTTACACAACTTTCCGTGCATACACATAACTTTCGAAGATGCAAAAGAAAAATGTGACAGTTGACAATTTAAGCTTAACACCGTTCGATTCAAAATCCCCAATTTGCAACCGACGCGGATCATTCTCCCGATGATCCACGGTCCGACGAAGCGTCCAGCACGACGAAACTTGCTCCCCGACAGTTAAAAATCGAACGAGATTTCGAAAGGATTTTGCTACATCGACCCGATTCCGTTTCTCAAAGTCTTCGCATTTCTCCGCGGCTTCCAGCGCGCCGGATTCGAGCGTTCTCGACGGCAGCGCGGATCAAATTTGAAGGACGACGGCGAAGGTTGCCGGTGTCGCAACGGTGCTCCAATTTTCGGTGCTAGCACCATGGGGAGGAGAGGAGCGCGGAGTGGCGGGGTAGATGAGGCAACCGGTTCCACATTCGTACGAAAAAAAAGGAGGATATCTTTATTTCAGTGAAGCAAGACGCGCGTTACGTCGAGTTACGTACAAAAGAAAATATTAAACAATTACGCCGGTAAAAAAAGAATTACGACTAATGTCACAGTAGCGAAACGCTCGATCCAATTGGTCCGGCTCTCGAGGAGGTCCCGGTGTCGAGGCCACCGAGAACCGGGTTGGGGCTGGTCCTTTCTCGCCCCGTCGCTCGGGGGAGCCAATCTTCGTGGCGTTGCTCGTCGGAACGACTGACCGACCGAAAACGAGGTAAAAGAGAGAAACAGGACGGGCGAAGGTGAGCGCGCGAGTGAAGGGTGACGCGATCCGCGGCGGTGCGTTGCCTTCGGGAACGGTCCGTGTCAGATCGTCCTCGAAGGCCGCTCGCCCTCGAGCCAGGACCGCGCGCGCGCGCTCTCAGGAGGAACTTTCTCTGTCGGTGGTCTTGACGATCTGTGCCCGTCTTCGCCGTTGATGCGCTGCTCGGAGATTGCCGCCGCCGCCGCTCCTCGGAGATTGGCTCCCCGTGAGAATCCGCGAATTAAGTCGTCGTTTACCATGAAGAGTAGCTGGACGGCCAGCCGTATTGTTTCTCAACGACGACCGGCTGCGCGACTGGGACTGGAACGTGCTTCACGTACGGGACGGCGACGGGCTGGGGCACCTTCACGGCGTACGGGGCTGGCACTGGAACCTTGACTGGCACGCTGACTGGGTAGGGGACAGGCCTGTCTACGGGGACCGGTACGTGCTTGGTCACTTCCACTGGGTAGGGCTTAGGGACGTGCACGGGGTACGGACGGTCGACTGGGACTGCGACTGGCACCTGGAAAACAACATGGACTCCGTTAGACCGTAGCCTCTATCGTGGCTACTGATTTTTGGACAACGTTTTTAGGGTTATTTTAAATTATTATTGTTTTTAAGTAGGCGTTGTTTTAGGATAATAGAGTAGTATGGAGTTAGAGTAATATTTGGAATAACATTATTCGTTGTTTAGAATAATATTTAGAATAATATTTAAAATAATATTATTCGTTATTTAGAATAATATTTATAATAATATTATTCGTTATTTAGAATAATATTTAGAATAATATTATTCGTTATTTAGAATAATAATTATTTTTAAATAAGCGTTATTTTAGAATTATTACTTTTAAATAACCGTTATCTTAAAATAATTATTGTTTTTAAATAACCGCGGTACCATTTTTGCAATATTTCCCTAAGAAGTTAAAAATTTAGTCTGATTTCGAGTAATGTCCGCAGCATGATTTCGGTTTCGTTAGAACGATAAGGCCGAATTTATTTAATCTTTTCGATAAGTTTAATGTAACATAACCTTGAACTGAGAAATTAATACGATCGTTTCCTATGAAAGCGTCTTTACGATTTCAATGATTTCTGGATTTAAAAAATGTGAAATCAGAGATTTTGATTTATACAATAAGTTTAGCAATGTGTTTCTGTGATCATAATACTTTATTTGCCGGAAGCCTATTGACCCTTTGCACTCGGAGACATTTTAATTTCAAGATTCTGGACAATTCTTCCCTAACCTAAAGATTTCTTTTCTTTTCTCGATTTTTTTCGCTTTTTATAGAATTGAACACTTACTCCTGCTACGCTTGAATTATTTGCAGTTTATTAAATGAAAGCGAATTTTGTAACGTAAAAATTGTTTATAATTGCATATGGTGAATTTTATTGGTGCCTTAGAGTCGCCATTCGAGTACAAAGGGTTAATAGGCCTATCTGAATTATATCTAAGAGGAACCCGATAATTTCCTTCTAAATAATGATTTCGCGCAAACTCGTTGCGTGAACTTGATCTAAATAATTTTATAAATCAAGATTTGTTATTTATATAGTAAAGCTCAACAATGAATTAAGAATAATTCTTAGCAAATATATAGAACTTCTTAGAAGAATAGTTCTTTTTGGCTAAGAAGAACTCGATAATTTCCTTCTAAATAATTTTATAGATCAAGATTTGCTTTTTAGTAAAGCTCAACAATAAATTAACAATAGTTCTTAGCAAAAATGGCACCGTTCAATACAATACCTGGCAAATAACACGAGAGCTTCAATGACCCCCTAACTAATTCAAAAATTTCTGTAACTGTCTCTCAATTTTCTGTCAAACTTTCTCGACAGCTAGTTCCATTTTCGACCAACGCGTATGATCTCGGCGTTTCGATTAAATAAATCGCGAGCTTAAAAACGGCATCCAAAAAATCCACAGCAGTCTCCTAAAGCACGACGAGTTAGAAAAATGCTATAATGACCCCCCCTATAAAATCTACCACAGAAATCATTCTTTTTCATCAATGTCGTTTTTAGGCAGAATTTCTCGAACTTTTGATTCTTAAGAGATCAATTCGAAAAGTGGCGAACAGCGTAATAACACTCGTCTTAATCGACTGCGAAGTGAACGAAAAATTGACAAACACAACGAAACGAAAAAAAAGAAAAATGCGAAAAAGCAGCTATGCGATGTACGCGCGTCGCTGAAGTTCGATCGCGACACAAGATCTGAACGAGCGCGATCGCTTGGGACTCGAACGGTTAACAAGCTAAAACAATATTCCCGGGAGAGAAGACATAATAATCTCACAGTCGGAACAGAATCGCGCATTTCCATGGAACCCGGCAATTTCCCACGATAGTGACCGCGGCGGTTCACAGACGGCGGAGCATCGGAGCCGCGAGTAATAACGCGTGACGTGATCGCGGAACGTCTGGCAAGCGGGGTCCGGGGCCATGGTTCCCCTAGAAAACACAGCGGCCGCACAAGTAACAACGATCCCGTCTGACGAAATCGCACGCCCGTTCTCGCATCGGTATGCTAATCAGCGATCGATGACGACAAGCCGAGAGCGCGGCGCGGCGCGCGCGAGGATCGCGCTCGAACAGATACTTCGTAATAAACAGAGCGTGATTCCACGCCGCGACACCGTTCCCATAATTTCTCGCACATCAGGTTTCGTTTCGCTCCTTCGCGAAGCTGCCGAACGATATTAGGTCATTAACGATTTCACGCGGACCGATTACAACGAGATCGAAAGTGGTCCGTCCGGTCGCTCTCTCGCCTAACCGAGGACTAGGTCCTCGTGGATTTTCGTTAGGCTAACGTGTTTACCTTAACCGCGACCGGCACGTGTTTCTCGACGGCGACGGGGACGGGATGGGGCACAGCAACCGGCACTTCCTTGGTCAACACGGTCGAGACACCGTGGCTGATGCCGACTGCCGGGTATCCGGAGTAGCCGGAGTAGCCGGAGTATCCGGAGTAGCCGGAGTATCCTAGACCAGAGTCCAGCCCGTAGCCGAGCCCGTAGACTCCTCGCTTGTCCTTCTTCGTCTCTGTCGCCGGTTTCGCGGCCTCCTCCGCGAATACCACCGCCGCGAAGGCGAGCACGATAAAGAGCTGCAAGCAAAATTTTACGGACTTTTAACGAGCTTCTTCTATCGGAGAGGTTTTATTTGTAATAGATATAGTGTATTGGATTCTAGGATAACAATATTCGTTTGACTTGCTTCGCGGTGCTGAAAATTACTGATGCGCCTAAAATAGCACTAAGTGCAATTAATCTGGGGTGCTTGAAGCCTTCGCACTCGAAGCTATTTTAAATGAAAATATAGAATCATTTTTCTAACTTATAATGTTTCCACTTTATATGACAAGATGCATTTTATGCATATGAAATTCACTCTCTTGGGACTCGTACAACGGTTATGCTCTTAACAATTTTTTAAATCTGACGCGCCTAAAATAGCACTAAGTGCAATTATTCTGGGGTGCTTGAACCTTTTGCACTCGAAGCTATTTTAAATGAAAATATAGAATCATTTTTCTAACTTATAATATTTCCACTTTATATGACAAGATGCATTTTATGCATATGAAATTCACTCTCTTGGGACTCGTACAACGGTTACGCTCTTAACAATTTTTTAAATCTCTCTAAATTTTGTTAATGTCAAAATTATCTTAAAAAGTGGCATAACAAATTTTAGTGGTGCCTTGGAGTCACCACTCGAGTGCAGAGGGTTAATCAATGCTCGGAATAAATATTAAATAATGTTAAATTTGAGATCAATAAATAATCGGTAAATCAATTTAAAGTCAGCTTGAAATCAGTGAATAATGCTCGGAGATAGTTGTGTACAAGATCGTGGTATACTAATTAATTTATTTTTAATTTAGACTTTGAATCGATGAATTGTGATGCATTTTTCTGCCAGAATTTTTAGAAGTACGTTTTAGAATGTGAACGCAATGAAAGCAATTATTATAACAGATAATGGGTGAATATTTTCTCTGAGGAATTGTAGGGATTTGTGCTAAACTGTACGAAGTGCAATTTTTTTCAGTTTGGCGTATCAATGTCGTTTTTAGGCAGAATTTCTTGAACTTTTGATTCTTAAAAGATCGATTCGTAAAAAAGATTATAGTAATTTTGAAATGTGATCTAGAGCTATATTGAACTTGATAAATGAACAGTTGAATCGAGTGTGCTGACTTCTTAATGTATTAATAGAAGTAAATAATTATATATATAATGTATAATATTATATTATAATTATATATATAATATATATATATATATATATATATATATATATATATATATATATATATGTAACAATTATATACTCTAAATAATTATAAACTATTCTATTTCAACCAGCGATAAATAAATTTTACTTTCAGTTGTGCAGGTATCGTAAAAAAATGTTCTGCGATTTAACGGTAACAAAAGAACAACAAATCTGTCGATTTTATAACCTACTTTTGCAAAAGCTATGTCCATAAACTACCATAGTTACAACTTGTCCTAGTATTTCTTAACCCAATGTCCCATTTTTGAGGCACTTTTTCAAACACTTTTCTCTGAAAAACTGCAACTTCAAAATAAAATACAGGCATTATAATAGCGAGAACATGTCACATGCTCCACGAAAGTATTAACAATTCCCGATATTTTGTCTTAAATCATTGTTAAATCATTGTAAACTTCAAACCTCAACCAATAACCTCAATTTAATTTCTTTCTTGTATTTTTGAATTGCAGCGAGTAATGTATAATCGATCTATCGTCTAGACTTAAAAAACCTGCATTCACTATAAAATTATCCAACATTACTCCAAAATAGTAACCTATCCCAAGAAAATGTTCAACGATCTAGACTTCCGTCAGCACTCGCGAAACGTCACGAAAATAGCAGCGAAATCGCTGATTTTGTACGAAAGTGAGACGATCTACAAAGTCGGTACACTAATTTCTCGAAACGTTTACACTGATCCGAGAGGGTTGAAGCCCTTCGTGTACGGAGGGCCGTCGTGATAGAAGAGAATGGTCTCAGCGGCCGGTCCTGATCCTCAGAAGAGACTGATCCCCAGGACCGTTCCGTCAGGCCACGCGGTGCTCACCTTGGCGTACATGGTGCTGCTGGCTAGTGGAGTTGGTTCGTCGTTGTTTTGCGACTGATGAGACACCAAGAAGATCCTCTGCTTTTATACAGCCGGACGAACCCTTGAACAGGTCGGAGGTGGGTAGACAACAAGTGGCGGGCCAGAGAAACGGCGAAAAGAAATTGGGCGTGGGGAGCGCGCAGGGGTCCCCGAAAACAGAACCAAGGCAAAGCTCTCGGCACGCTCTTTTTTCTTGCGAAAGATAAATTATATTCCCCCACTGTTGATTAATACTTCGGATCCCGTGCAGCTCAGTCCGCCGCCAGTCATCCACTCGCCTGCGTCAGGGTGCCTTTTCCCACTTGCTAATTGACCGTTCGACGTGCATCCAGTGACGTCAGGACCGCTTCGAAACTTACAAGTTTTTGAGAGCATACTTTTGCGAGTGGACCACGGTGTCGAAGCCTGCGGAACATTTGTTCAGGTAACCATATTGGGCGAGCCGAAAGCTGACCGGTTCTTTCTTTCTTTTTTTTTTTTTTGCCTAGTTTAGTGAGCTTCGACGTTTCTGCCGAGTATTTTCGAGATATTATAATATTAAATCGAAGTTGTATGAAAATAGATTTTTGAGATTTCTCTGGATCGTGTTCGTGGCAAACGGAAATACGATAATCTGCATTTAACGAATATTTGATCGGAGAGCTTCGTCGACGCGCGTGTTAATATATACGATATTTCTTTCCTTATTGAGAAATTATTCAGATTTTAACCAGCTGTAGCTGCGGCGCATCTGTTTCAGAACGCGCAAGTGTATATACATATATGTATAACTATGTGCATAATAAACGAAAAACGCAGGAAAAATCAAATACTTGTTAAAAATTCTAATCGCTTCAAAATTCAATTCTTTTTTCATCTTATTTTTGGAATAATGCGAACACCTTCGTTTAGGATCGGCCTCAAAATATTCTGAACATCTTGAAATTTCAGAATATATTTTTCTTTTCATTATAATTACAATTTAAACAGTTAATGATCGCTACTTTTTACGTACGACGAGTATACTCGTTACTGTTCATAACGAGAATATTCGTCAAACACAGCTAACTGGTTAAATATATTGAAAATTTATGATCATTTTTAACATTTGGTTACATTATTAAACATTGTTAAACATTATTAAACATTATTAAACATTATTAAACATTATTAAACATTATAAAACATTATAAAACATTATTAAACATTATTAAATTGTTTCTAATACAATGTTTGTTATTCAAGCTACAACATTAATAACTGGTTAAATATGATGAAAATTTATGATCATTTTTAACATTTGGTTACATTATTAAACATTGTTAAACATTATTAAACATTATTAAACATTATTAAACATTATTAAACATTATAAAACATTATAAAACATTATTAAACATTATTAAATTGTTTCTAATACAATGTTTGTTATCCAAGTTACAACATTAATTTTCGCAAGCAGCGAAGATAAAATTATTGCAAATATTTCCCTCGGTTCTGGAAGATCGGTTGCAAGCGAACTATTCTGTGGCGTTCGAAAGAAACGGCTCATTTTTGGGCGTGGACCTCGCATTGCATAAACGGGCCACAATTCTCGCAATTTCACGTAACTTCTCTCGTTAACCGACCACCTGTCCAAAATGGTAACCTAAAGCTTGTTGGTTTGTCCGTTTCCCGACGTCCGCGTTGATAATTTACACGAGCAAATCCACACACACATACATATAAGCTGTATTTAAAACGAATCGAAATAACTCTGAAAACCGAATGAAATTAAATCGAAATTAAATCGAAACCGAATCGAGACGAATTAAAAATGAACCGACAGCATCCGAATGATCGGCAAAGGTCTTTCTCCGTGACGTCATAATTCTCCAGTTGAGAGACTTTTTGAAAGATCGTCCCGGTGTCGCGGCGTCTTCGATATGTCACTGTATCAGTTTTTTGTTTCATTATCACAACTAAAACGTTATGCTAATAGAGTGACGTGAGCATCCGCTTTTTCGGTGCCGGTGTCGTAGCAGAAAACAGTGAAGCTACGCCGAGACTGGAAAGGGAATCATAAAATATTGAAAAGGACGTTTCGGCGGCAACGCTCGAAAACATTGTTGTCCTTTATTTGCTAAGGAAAGGTATCGAATATTTCACGCGGGTCTTCCTCCCTTCGCGTGTTCCCCTTGCTATGCTAATAAATTCTGTACTATGCTGTTCCTGCGTTCTTTCTGGGCTTATTAATTTGTAACGCGCGGGCAGCTGTAAAAAAACCGATTTGGCCGAGCTTAGGGCAATTTATAATCGAGGAGTAGTGCTTCGAATAATCCTTGAATGCGCGATGCTTTGTTTGCAATTTCTGTTTATCAAACTTTGTTTAAAAAATGAGTGCATATTAAGGGAAAAATAAAGAAAAATATTGTATCTTTAGGAAAATATTTTGTTTAAATTATCGTATGTTGCTAAACGACTACAATGCGCATTTGGTTATGCGATTAAGGGAAAAATAAAGAAAAAAAATTGTATCTTTAGGAAAATATTTTGTTTAAATTATCGTATGTTGCTAAACGACTACAATGCGCATTTGGTTATGCGATTAAGGGAAAAATAAAGAAAAAAAATTGTATCTTTAGGAAAATATTTTGTTTAAATTATCGTATGTTGCTAAACGACTACAATGCGCATTTGGTTATGCGATTAAGGGAAAAATAAAGAAAAAAAATTGTATCTTTAGGAAAATATTTTGTTTAAATTATCGTATGTTGCTAAACGACTACAATGCGCATTTGGTTATAGTGTGATACGTATAAATTATTTTTTGGGATATTTATATATATATATACACCAAATATACCAAAAAATACATATAAAATATATGTATATATTTTTTATATAATATGTATCTTTGTATACATTATAAATATTTGTATATTATTATATAATAATATAATTTATATTTATATATAATAATATAAAAGTTTTTTATATATATTATAAAATATAAATATATTTTTTATATGTATGTTTTGGTATATTTTCAGGGCTAAACAAACGATATCCCTCTCATTTTAGAACATCGCCCGTGCAACCGGACAAAACGGGCTAAAATCTGAAACAAAGAGTATCGAGTTTACAAATCCAACGAACGTTCCCGTTGTCAAGTCGAATTTACTTATGTTCGAACAGCATGATGCAGCGCAGCGATTTCGCAAGGAGCATCGATTTTATGGTCCATCGGCATGATTCGAGGAGTCGTGATCTCAGGAAGCCGTCTCGGGGCTTCATGTTTTATCCATGCGCCGCGAGATTCGCGTGCAGAATTCGCCGACGGTTTCCGACCCGTGGAATCACGATTTATCGACGAACGATCGTCGTGCGGGGAAATGCGCCCATTCAGAGACCGTGACACGGGAAAACCGCGTTTCGTCGGACGCGCGCGCGCGCGCGTTTCACCGGAACGTCGCCGAACTGCAGAAAACCGACAGCCGATCCGCGCTCGGCCGGGCGCGCATGTCACGCCTATAATTAATAGTTCTCGACGGGCGCGGTGAATTTCAAATTTTGCATCTGACACTTTGAATAACGTCGGCGCGGGACGTCCGTTCCGAGAAACGGTCGCTTATTACGGACGGACGAGCAGACGAGCCACTCGACGGAACACGATAGAAGCAGAATCAAAAAGAGAACAACGAACGGTTCCGCGCGCGGAGGGCGAAGGGTTTCGGCCCGGCAACATTTCTTTTTTAAATGCACCGGCGTCCAATCCTAGAGCGGAATTAACCCCCTTCGCCAGGGGGGGATGCCGCTAGCACATATATCCAGACTCGAAGACCCTGATCAGAATCGGAGAGACTCTCTCTCCCTGCCCCCGCCCCGCCGGTTCACCTTGTCCTTATTAAGGCCGTTTGTTGTTTCCCCGTTCGATCGGTGACTCATTAATCTTCGATCGGGATCAAATTGATTTTTCTAACCCACCCCCTGCAGGAAGCGCCGCGGACGACGTTTTAGTGTTACAAGGCCGCGATCGCGCGCGGCGCACAATTAACGTTTGTTCTAGCGCGAGTCGCACGTTTCTTCTAAGTAATATCTGGCCGGCCGCGGCCGAGAGGCGCACCTTCACTCGCGAAAAAATGAACAACGAGAAAACGGAACAGAACGTGCACGCAGGAAATCGCATAACCTTCGCGACACGGCGTACTCGCGACCGAGAGAGAGCGAGGGAGAGAAAGGGAGAGAAGGTTGACCGAGGCGCTCAAGTTCATCTTGTTTGTAAAATCGCCCGTTGCCGATCGCCTACCGAGCCGGAGAATTGTTCCGTGGCCAAGGTTCTAGGGACAGGCTCGTGTTTTTTCGTTTCTTGCTCATTGCCAGATGGAAATTGGGGGAAATTGGAGCGGCGGTCGTCGCGCCGGTTCTCGGCCGACCAGTGTCTCCTTTCGGATTGTTCGAGCGTTTCGCGCTTTGACTGCCGCCGCGCGTACGTCGCCGACGCGATTCTTCCAGTAAAAATTCAAACTTCGTCGACGAGGGCCGTAAATGTACAGTGGCCCACAAAAGTGTTCGAACGCGTTTTAAGATACGATAACTAATTTAAAGACTGAGCTAAATGACTTGAATTCTTTTTAGGTGATACAGGAACTAGTCTACTAGACGATGACTGAAATGCTTTTTTATTTTTTAAATTTTGCTGTTACTTGGAAAATAGAAATCTTCTGTTTCTTTTAACTTTTTTATCTGAGCTAGGAACGAAAATTTTAAAAAGGCGATTCGTTAATCTCGGTAACATACGGTGGCCCATAAAAGTGTTCGTTACACCATTTTTTTAATTTTGTTATTACTTGGAATGGCAAAAAAATAGAAATCTTTCGCTTTTTTATAAATTTTTAAAAATTCTTTCGTATACAATTTTATCAAGATCGATTTATTATCATCGATTAACCGATTTCGATCAAGTTTTCAACGTGTATATAAGTTATTGAGACCTATAAGAGGCATTTTTTAAATTTTCGTTATAGGTTCAGATAAAAAAGAAGTTAAAAAACGAGGGTTTCTAATTTTTTTCTTTTCATTACAAGTAATAGCAAAATTAA